CTATACCTCTTACACACCTATATAAGTTCAATGCACGAATGAGACTTCAAAGCTGTGGATTGCTGTGCGTGTGTAGAGGTTATCGAGCGGTTGACGGAAAGGGAACTTGAAGTACTTTACCTGGTAATTGACTTGTAGCTACCCTGGGTATCTATACCTGGCAAGGTGCCAGCTACACCTTACCATTCAGATGATGCAACTGATGCAAATTGCATTTCTTGCATCACCACCCTCAAAAATCACAAAAACTCACCTCCAACACAACCTCAAAAACCTTACTTCCGCACACTCCTCTCCACCACCTAATTTCGAGTTTACGTAGTGCTTTCTCGGGCCACCCCCTACTTACTCACTTCGTTCGCCAAACACAACTCAGCTGGCGCCTTCTACGAAGGCTGGCTTTCGTAAAGACATCCTCCACAAAAAACAGCAAATGGACCCAGTCAAAACTCTGGTCGGGGCAAGATACCATGTCGTTTAGACCCTTTTGGGAAGACCTGGGCGAGCATCTGGCCTTCTCTCGCAGATCTTCCTTCAAGGGCTTCGTGCTGCTACTGAGGTTGTTGGCCTCCAAACCCAAGGTGTCTGCCAGGCGAAGAAGGATCTGCTCCAAGTGCTCGTAGTCCTCATCCTCAGAACGGTGGCTCCCAGGTCAAAGGACTTCTTCACTCCAAGTATCTTGTTGAACCCGCTCATGCTGACAAGATACTGATACCTCACTGATTTTGTATATTACCACTGATACCTCACGGATACCCCTGAATGGACAGCTGCCCTGCCCTTCCGCCCAGTCGCCCACCAGCGCGGGAACTCCACCACCGGCTCCGCGCGCGGCTCTGCGGCTCGCAGCGTCACGCGGCCGCGGGACGCGGGGCGCAGGAGAACGGATTCGAGGCCTCTGCGGCCCGCGGTGGTGGAGCTCCGGATGTGAAGTGAGTGAGGATCTGGGAGGTAAAATAAGCACCAGAAAGGATGGATATGGTTGGTCATCTGTGTCGTTGGGACTTGGGACTTGCTTTGAACCTCTCTCAGGTTATTGAAGTGATACACAATTCCAACGTTTCTGAAACCCACCCACTGGACGACGGTCTCTGTGCTGTCGTCCGACCAGCGGCCGAAGTCGAAGCTGTTTCGCTCCACGTTGCAACCGCCATACCTTGGCATCTTGGCTCTGCAAGAGCAACGAAGGAGTCACCCGTGCCCATAACATCACGTCCATAAGGAGCGAAAAAGGTTTCAACCATGCTCAACATGGGTTTGGCAAGTTTTTGATAGTTTTTGATAGCTTGTTACTTGTGGTTTTGTATGGATGAAGAAGGGCTGAAGAGCTGTCTTGTGAGGGCTCTTGTTCTGCCAATCTTCCGAATCTGCGCCAGGACCAGCCATCTTCTCCAGCGATGTCCCCACTTCACGACACTCACACGGTTGTTTTTCATGTTTGGTGCAACAAAACGACTTCCTCACTCTCACATCCACAACTCAGAGGTGGGCTTTGCCAAGCTCCTCCAAGCTCCTCCAGCACCAAAAACAACATGCATGGGAGTTGGAAGACCCCCCTCAGGCGTTGGAAGACTTCTGCGACCCCCTTCGACCCCCTGAGAAGAACTCCGGCGACCAAAGGAAACCAACAGCTCCTGCCCACACGCACGACACGACATTGAAAAGAACAACACATGGCACTGGAAACAACTCGCACTGTTTTGTAGAGGAAAAGGTCTTGCAACAGGAACCTTTTCTTCACTTCCATGTCCGTTTTGATCCGTATTTGATCCGTGTCTGCTCTCCACAGCAACCATCACCCACCAACAGACCAACACCCACCACCCCGCCAAATTTGAACCACTTCACCACTTCAATGCCACCCGGGCGCAAGCGCAGCTCCGCGTCCACGTGGGGGGACGTCATGTCCGAGCGGAAGAAGGCGTTGCAAATCTCCCGCGAAGAGCCTCGGAGGGTGCTCAACCGCGGCGGCGTGGCGTGTTCCAGAAGGGGTTGATTTGGATGGTGTGACCTGGCAGGGTGGCATCCAAAGTCAAGCACGTTTGGGTGAAGTATAGACTTATAGAGATCTATAGAGGCTCAGGGATCATGCCAATTCTTCAACCAATGGTTGGATCATGTTGGATCCTTCAGACTTCATGAACCACGTTTGGGTCGTTGGAAGCAGCCATGCGTGTAGCATCAGCGAAGATGAAGTGATCGGTTGGACCCTTTCACCACAGCGGCAGGTGGAGCCGGTGGAGCTGGTGCGGGCGTCTTCGGAGCACGACATCGGTTTTCTGGTTGCCATCCCTTCCTCCAAAGGAGAGAGAAGCAATGAATGATTGGACTTGGTCTATCCTGGAGATCCCTAATTCTCGAAGATCTAGATGGATTTCGCCAGAAATATCGAGCAGAACCCCAGACTTGAGCCACTCACAGTCATGGCTTTAAGGGGTCAAACCATCTTCTCAGGAAGTATGTCATTGAAACCATCTTGTCCGGAAGTATGTCACATGAGTGTCAAAACTCATGATGTGGAAGAGGCTGTCATAAGTCTGTCAAAAGTTATGAATCACTTCGATGAATGCTAGAGCAGCTAGATTCCTCCAACTCATCCAAGCTCGTGTGTCAACATGAAGCTTCTGCGAGCCAAGCCAGCACTGGATCGATCAATCACTATAGATCCAGGCACTCCTGGTGAGCGCCTCTGCTTCGCCCCAATATACTGCATTCAGTATTTGACACCATGGAACGACCACACAACCATGCACACATCTCTCACCCTGCAAAATACATGCGGCAGGTCACATGGTGAGATGCAAGATACATATCCTTTGCACCCGACTTACCTGTTAATGCCTGCCGGTGGCTCAAACCGAATCTTTTTATAGCGCACCTACACACCGATTCCAGCATAGGTTACACGGTTCTCCTGCTGGGACTTCCCTCCACCCCCGCTTTCTTCGCCCAAGGCGCATGCTGCGTCGCGAAGAGGGTCGATGGGAAGATCCGTTTGGAGGCCGAACCACGTGAAATGCGCCAAATGATCCGCGAGGTTCTGCCCCACCTCGCGGTTGGCCACCTGCAGCGCCCAGCGCTGTGCTATGCTGCATGGAGAGAGGTTAGCCATGGAGTGGTGGTTGATTTTCCTTTCAAACTATAGTGTGGTGTTACATGGGATGCAGGTGCTGGACCTTTGCCAACCAACCATTTCTGATCGATTGGAGGCGGGTCTTTCTTTCTGGCTATAAGTTAGCAATAAATGCCAGTGTGTTGCTATAGTGCATGCTGCAGGACACCTTGTATGAACTGTTCTTGATCAGCGAAACCGGACCACCCAAACAGCAAAATCCTCAACTCTTCGTCTTCAGGGCTTTGATGATGCAATACCTTATGTCTTTACTCCAGCACTCCCATTCTGAGCTGGATGAAGCCATCTACTACACTCACTGCACCGGAACCATCCGTTGCAATCAACTTCCCAACCAAACGTCTCCCAGCCTTCCTCCCAGCCCTCTTCAGCCCACCACAAACTATCCTCCACAACCACCCTATCCCCCAACAAAACCACTGTGCACCACCACCGCCTTCACGGGGATGTCGAGCTCCTGCAAGATCAGCGGATCTCCAACCCCGCTGAGCATCAAGAGCTTCGGCGTGCCGATCGCGCCCGCCGCCAGCAGCACCGCGCGCGCCGCGCGGCAGCGGCGCGTCCGGCGGCCGCGGCGCTCCACGCGCACGCCGGTGGCCTCGCCGCGGTGGATGAGGATCTGGGTCACGAAAGCCTGAGAACATCGGTGATGGCACTGGGCCTGGTGGATAGACACCTCATGACACCTCTGTATCTTCTTTTGCAAGAGAAGCTTGACCTCACATGGATGGATGGATGGGATGGGATGGGATGGGATGGATTCTGGCTAAGTATGGCTCTCTGTGGGGGTATTTCGTGCAAGAAGCACTGTTCATGTCACACCGCGCCGGGCAAGTATCACCCACACACCCATCAAGCCGGTCATTGAAAGTGAAGTTGTTCCGTAAGTGGACGTCCATGAGCCCACTTCCAGTGGAATTTCAGGGGCTCTTCGACAGTAAAGACTGAGAGGAAGATATTGGTATAGCAATGTCAGTAAGGTTGTCAGTCCTTAAGATGCTATACAATTCTCCTCCCTAGAGCTATCGGCTGCACCGGCTGTGGGTCAAAACCAGATCTTGGTTGACCTACCGGCAGGTGTCGGTCGCTCCACACGGTGGTTCGTTCGCGTGTCGGGTCCTTCGGTCCTTGTCGTCTGTTCTTCTTTCGTCTGGGGTCGGGTCCAAGCCCGGAGGAGAAGTCCATAGGATGAGGAAATACATAGTGTCATAGTAGCACCGTTCTTTTTTTTCCATCCTCAACACTATGACCCAAACCTGCAGCACTGCAAAGAAGATCAAAGAAGTGGACTTCTATTTCTCATCCACAGTAGCACTATGTAGCACTGGTTTCATCCCCACACGTTGCATACTCGCTGGCGCTGCGCATCTCTCCATCTCCAAGCGGCGTTCGTCCAGGTTGTGATCCTGGGCCGCGTCTTGGTGCGTTTGGGCCCGGAGAGAGAAGCCTTGTTGGGTCCACAGGGTGCCTGGTTGACCGAACCCATTGCGCGACCCAAATCTAAAGAAATCGGAACCTGCGAAAGAATGAGGAAGCTTCGAACCAAAAGGCGATCATAATTACATGATCATACACAAATGCATAGATCATACATCATCTGTACTCAATTCTCCAACCAAATGGACCCAAAACCGTTTGATCTGCCGGAGCCTGGACTCCATTGGAGGTGCGTGCTGGAGTCCATCCAAGTGTCAGTGATTGATTCCAGGGCTGCACCATGTCGCGATAGGGTGTGCTCCGTTCGCAGGCGGCGTCCACTTGACACTCTGGATTCTGGTAGCAATCTGCTGGCGTTGGTGGGCCTCAAAAGCGTTTGCGATGTGTGTTTTGAGCAAAGGAACATAGGCCCATCATGGCCCATCCAGAAAAGACATCGCTTTAGGCGTATTCCGGTTTGAATACCCCAAGATTTACTTGAAGGAAGTACTAGAAATGAAGTCCTAGAGTCGTATTCTAGGATTGAATACTTCGAGATTTACTTGAAGGAAGAACACTCAGGTTCCCTGTCAGGTCTCCTTTAGATAATTCCTGGGATTGTGCATTGGTCCACCAGCATGTTCAGATGGCTGATCCACCAAGACATGAGCTTGTTAAGCCGGATTCCAATTGAAGTATACACCATGCACCATACACCTTGTTAAGACATGTTAAGACATGACCTTGTATACACCATGCACTTGAAGTATACACCACCCTCCACTCCTGACGCCCGCTCCGGCTCGCGCCGAATTCCACTCCCACTGGGCCAATCGACAGGTGCGGAACTTCCACCAACCGCCGTAGAGCCCGGCCTCGCACGAGGAGGGTGGAAACCAGCATACAGTGGAGGGTGGCTTTGCTTGGAGGCCGGATGGGTTGGGGCGGGGGGTCGTTTCTTTTCTTCGAAGCGGATTTGGAAAAACACACCATTCTTCTTTGTGGGCAAAGTGGTTCTGGCAGAGTGGTTTGGGCCAAGAAGATCCAAAAGGGACATGTAGAGTGGTTTCTGTTTAGTCAGAGGTGCCCAGCGAGTTCTTTGGTATTATATCGGTGTGTATTTAAAGAGGGAACCAAAATGTGTAGACTGGTCGATGTTCCTTCTTCCTTGGAGTCTTTTGGAGGTCTCCCTAATTATTTGAGCTACACATCCATATGTGTGTGTGTCGTTTCTCACTCATACACACCCTCTTGTCGATGAGAAGTTCATACACTCGTACCTCTGCTTTCTGTGCCAAAACCATGCACCGCAACATCTGCCAGCGCGTCAGAACATCACTGAGCCAACCTGAACAAGACTCATGCACGGGAACCGCGTTTCCATGTTCAAGGGGGATGTATCTCGGATCTGTTAGAGACGTCTCCTGACCGTTGCGAAGCCACCGGTCACTCAGCTTGGCCCTCTCATTCGAGCACCAAGCCACCGGTCTTTCCTCCGTTGCTGGGGCACACTGGTCTTTCCTTCTCCCCCCGGTCCGTTCCGCCGTTGCCTTGTCCTCGATGCCCGGCCGTGCTTGGAAGCTCAGCGGCAGCGCCGTCAGCGCCTCGAGCACTCGACGGTGCACCTCGGGCAGCTGCTGCAAGTCCTCGACGGCACTTCGACCGGTTCGTGGGGGTGATCGTGGGGAGGGGATCGTTGGTGGAAACGGATTGTGGGAAGCTGTGGAATATTTTTATGTCCACTTTTTGGAAAGACTAGACTGTTAGTATTTGGGTTAGATTCGATGATGGGTTTAGCCAGAGGTGCGGAGGACAATCAATCAGTGCAACCAACAGTACTTGAACACACTAGGGACTGTTCAATCACTTTCACATAGAACCGCATGAAGTCCGCTCTTCTTTTTTCCCCTTCAAGAACCGGATGTTCGTCCCCATCTCGCACCTCAAAGCCCCGGAACTGCAGCGTCAAGGCCTCCTGTGGAAACCCGGTGAAGGAGTGCAGCCGGAGTGGGCTGAAAGGCCATAGAAGAAGGTCATCGTGCTCAAGAAAGGGCATGGTGACGTGGAGCAATTGGTCTTCTATCTCGTGGACGGAGGATCAGAAATCTGCCAGATCACAACCAAGACCTAGCCGACTTCCCATCATTTTCTCTGTTTCTGAAATAAAGTTTGGCTGACATGAAGGGTGCGGCATGAGATTCTGGCGCTCTCCCAGTCCGAACCCCGGGCCGTTCTCATCTGATCCTTTTCCCTGCCAAACAGGAAGGTGAACTCGCTCTGTTCATCCTTTTTTTGGCGCGTAAGACACCGATTCCAAGGAATCACCTCAGCCACCGTCCGCCGCATCTGGTTCACCCCCGCGGGTCTTAAGCGTCGAACCTCGATGTCGTGGAAGTCTTTCGCCACGGACTCGGTGCTCCAGCTTCGAAGGCCCCAGAGCTCCTGGAACTCGTTCAGCAAGGGCTTGTCATAGACGTCTCCATGCAGCGCCTCAGGGCTGCTTCGGCGGAGAAGGTGGAAAGATCGGACCATGGCAGGTGCTGGGAGGACCAGGAGTTATAAGAGAAACCAACACATCCGACAAAGAATCCTTGCGAGCCCACATGAGCCCAGGTATTTTGGCTTAGAGGATCTATATATACCAAAAATCATCCACGGACAGCTTGGTTTAGTTGATCTTTCCTTTTACCAGTGGCTTTGGATATCCCACCTTGAACTTGTCCAGGAACGACCCAAAAACCAATCTGCGGAGGAAAGAAAGTGGATACCCACAGGGTATAAATTCGATGTCCAGTTGATCTTTCCTTGTGACCTCAGCGGAGCTTCTAGAAAGAGCCCACTCAAGCACATCTCCTGCACCGATGCCCTGAGACTCGTGCTGCTCCTCGGTGCGTCGAGGCACTGAGGAGCCGCCGGCCACGCGCCCGGCGACCACGCGCTGCTGGCGGTGCCGGGCGTTCTGCACGCGCAGCGTGGGCGGGAGCCTCGGCTGCGACGGTGTTTGAGACGTCTGCGACCGGCACACCGACCCGAGTGCCCCGTTTTGCCGCGGAAACTCCTGGGGTGCCCCAAGGGGCCTCAAGGTCATCCTGCACCTGTTGTGCTCCGATGAATGCTCCGCGGAAACGAACCGCGGAAAACGCACCGCGGAACGAATGCGACCGCTTGGAAGCTTGGTGGGATAGTTCCAGTCGAGGCCCCGTTCCTCGGAGCAAGGGGCGAGTGGAGGATGGAGCCAAACGGTGGGACACGTTGGCGCAAACATGTAATTATATGCACCCTGAGAGTCCAGTCGACTCGAAAAAGAATGGTCTGACGAGTTCGGGGACCTGAGTTCGGGAAGTTCCTTTACTTTAGCCGGTCAAAATATAGTTCCTTTATGCACCCTGGGAGTCCAGTCGACCGTCTGACTTGGTGATCCGAGTTCAGGAACTTCCTTTACTTGGGTGGTGCCTAAAATAGTCTTTGGACTTCTAGGGTATATGCAATAAACCCAGTCACACCTGGCCCCTTGACCTCGAGTATAGTGTTTCAATTATGTTTTGATAAAGATGACCAGCTGCACCCTCCGGTTCAAAGACCAAAAGCTTCCAAACACCACACCCACCGAAGTTCACCCCACTCTTCTCCCCCAGTGAAACGGGGTCAAAAACCATCCACCCACCCACCCACACCACACCCCACCGGGGCTTTTCCACTGCTCTCGACTGCATCCTTCTGCTCTGCCGCTCGGCCGCCGAGGCGCGGTGCGTCCTCGAGCGCTCTGCTGTTGGTAGAGCCAGGGCGGATCCCAAGGCCCCGCCTCCAAGAGCAGCACGCGGAAGCCCTCGGCGGCCAAGCGCCCCGCCGCCAGCGAGCCTCCTAGGAGGACGACTGCTTCGGTAGGACGGGTGGTAGATGGGAGGGGGTTGGGAGATGTTGGTCTCCTGTTCCGAAGGAACCGGAGAACGTTGCGATGGACAGCCAACAAGCATGTTTTGGCATGGAAGAGTTGGGCAAGGGCACTGCGGACCTGGTCAAATGCTGATAGAACTGAACATGACGCGTGGTGCACTGCCCTCCTGACCTGTGGCATGAATCCGGTCTGACAGAGTCTGATCATGAGTATCACCTGGCCGGCTGAGCTGTTCGTTTTGGTGACCACGGTATCATCATGATATACCTTTATGATCCTCAAAGTACCTCGGAATATGGCGTACAAGATCGTACTTGCGTACCGGTGATGTTCATGGTGTCATGTCCCATTTTCGTACTTTCGAGAGTCCATGGCAGTTTTGACACGTAGCAAGAGGAGGCCTGGGTTGGAACCCATGGAGACATCATGGAGGTCCGAGGCCTCATGAGTCGGTTATGAGCGAATTCATCGCCCCCAACCGCCCCCCCTTGCGTGGGGGTAGACTGGTTGACTTTCCGCCAAAAGGTCGAGCTGGAGGTCGAAGCGCTAAGTCAATCCGGTGTCCAACATGGGAAACACGGCATCGGCACCAGCCAACGAACAAATCCGACCATCAGCTTCACACGATTCGCCATCTCGGCGGTTGGTCGTCCGCCTGGAAGAGCCGAAGTTTGGGATCGGGATGACTCACTGGAGGGTGGCAGAGATGAGCCCACTGATGAGGCAATCCCAACCGTTGCACACCGATGGTCGACGTTTCATCCCTCTGCGCTGAGTGGTGGCGATGGTCTGCATGGGAGTGGCAGCAAAGACCAACAAAGATCTAAAACAAACAGACCAACACCTGAAGCATCAGAGTGGCAGTGGCCAATACTTCAAGACCCACTGTTGCTCCCATTCCTGGAAAACACCAACACCAACAGTGCGGACAGTGACAGTGGCATCAAAGCATCACAGTGACAGTGGTGAAGATTTCAAGAACCAACGACCATGCTCGTCAATGGCACCTGGCGTGGCGAATGACGCCATGGCACTCGTGCGGATTGGCGGATTGCACTCAATGCTGCTCAAGCAGTTGCACTCTCCGGAGCCTCCCGTCCGACGAAGGTCACTGAGTCTGGGACGGTCACGTTGACCAAAGATGTGCAATTGGCAAAGGCACTGTGTTCAATGTGGGTGACGGATTCCGGGATGGTCAAACTCGCCAAAGAGCTGCAATCCCTAAAGGCTTCTCTTCCAATGTAGGTCACTGAGTCTGGGATGGTCAAGTTCGCCAAAGAGCTGCAATTCGCAAAAGCGCCTTCCGGAATGTGCGTCACTGAGTGTGGGATTGTCACGTTTACCAGCGAGCTGCAATTTGTAAAAGCTTCTCGTCCAATGTCAGTCACTGTCTCTGCGATGGTCAAGTTCACCAAAGACACGCAATTCTCAAAGGCCCTGATTTCAATGTGGGTCACTGATTCCGGGATGATCAAGTTCACTAACGAGCTGCAATTTGAAAAGGCATTATGGCCAATGCGGGTCACAGAGTTCGGGATGGTCAAGTTCAACAAAGAGGTGCAGTTTTGAAAGGCACTGCGTTCAATGTGGGTCACTGCGCGTGGGATAGTCAAGTTTGTCAAGGAGGTGCATCTTTGAAAGGCACTATCTGCAATGTGCGTCACTGAGTCTGGGATGCTTAAGTTCGCCAATGAGATGCAATTTGCAAAGGCACTTTGACCAATGCGGGTCACTGAGTCTGGGATGGTCAAGTTTGCCAAAGAGGTGCAGTTTTGAAAGGCACCAAGCTCAATGCCAATCACTGACTTTGGGATGGTCAAGTTCACCAAAGAACAGCAATTTGCAAAGGCACTGATTTCAATGTATGTGACCGATTCCGGGATGGTCAAACTTACCAAAGAGGTGCAACTTGCAAAGGCATTCTGGCCAATGTGGGTCACTGAGTCTGGGATGGTCACGTTCACCAAAGAGGTGCACGTTGCAAAGGCATATCTCCCAATGTGGGTCACTGAGCCTGGGATGGTCAATGTGGCAATTTTCTTGCAGTGTTCAAAGGCCTTCTCAGAGATTTGATGTTCACCATCTGGAATTTCTACTCGGAACAAAAGGTCCAAGTCAATTTCACTCTCAAATGTGGTGATCGCACCCATGTTGCAGCATCTCACGGTGTTCGCTTTGAAGACAACACTCACAACAACATCTGCGGTCAGCCCCACATCTGCCACCGTTTCATCATTGCCAAGCATGTGATCTCCAGCAAGAATCTCCACGCTTGTGGTTCTGCGAGTCACCTCATCCCAGGCCCTACCTGCCATGTCTTTGATCTGCTGCTTCAGCTCTCTACCTGTCATCTCGGGCGTCACTTCAAGAGGAATAACATCACCATTGACTTGCAGGGCTGATAGTCTCAGGGCCATGGCTGATGAACACGACCACTCCAAGCAAGATATGAGCTGATCTTAGAACTAGATGTCACATGTTTGCCAAATTTCTGTGGCTCTGCTGCGTTTTCCAGGCTCCTAGATGGTCCGACATGCATGCGGTACCTGATATGATAGCAAAATAGTAAACTTGATCCTGAAGCTTTCTGTTTCTGTTTCTGTGCCCTCCATGTCTTCTGCGCACTTCGTGGCACTTCGTGGCACTTCGTGGCCGGTCTTTCGGTCGACCGGCAGATGCCTCCGGTCTTTGGGTCTCCCCAAACGCCAAGACGCCGACGTAGACCCTCAAACGATAAGGATTTGCACAAACAAGCCTTTGGAAGTACTCTGAATTTCAAGCTTTTGCCAACTCAAGTTCCCTTCTGATTGCCTCAAGTTCCCTTCTGATTGCCCCAGACTAGCACTCTCTCACATCAAGCATCTCTGTAAGACTCTCTCTCCCAAATTCCTTGAACATACCTGGACCCTCCAAGGGGTCCAATGGACTACCCCACACTACCTATAGGCTTAACCACTTGACCCCAAACGGCACCTTCACCTTCCTTCACCTTCCTTCACCTCAAGACCTCAAGACCTGCCGGCGGCAAACGCGGCCGGTCCTGTGCCAGCGCCCACCACGATGTAGTCCCACACGGGCCCTCCAGCCGCGGCCGCAGCCAGGGCCAGGCTGCACCAGGTGATGCGGCACATGTTGACGTGCAAAGCGGCGCAACACGCATCAGGGCGCCATGCGGCCATGCATGAGAAAGCTGTGTGTTTGGAGAAAGAAGCATTCGTGTGTTGGTTTTGCGAGTGTGTAGCCCTGTGTTGGCAGAAGGGCGGCTTTGAGACGTTGGTTTTGGCACCTTTGAAAGATCCTTTCTGGTTGGGGACATCGTGGGATTTCCAACACTATTGTTGAGGGCTGAACAAAAAGAGAGAGAAAACACATGCGGGCGGCTGAATCCCAACTTTCGAACAGAAGGTCAAGTGGAGGACCACGTCTAAAGGCCTAAGGTTTTGGTGATCCACTTGTTGTAGATCCCAGTCTGGTTGTTAGCACTGCCATGTAATCCAGCTGTGTGCCATGATAGTTGTGCGCCATCTAAATCGGCATCGTCGATGAGTGTTTCACGTGATTCCAGGCTGGAGCCATTGAACTTGTGAATCCACTCTTGCAGAAAACTACACAAAGCCACCTGCAAATGATTGTTACAAGACACCAAACACGCAGGTGATTGATCGTGATGCAGTGATGCTTGTGCAAGAACTCTACATTGTAACATCTCTACAAATGAGTCCAGTACTGCAAGCAGGTCTACAAACGACCCCAGATGCAGCAACATATAGTCCTCTACTCAGATTGCAAAACGCACAGCCCTTCTGGGGCTTGAGAGGATTCATCTCCGCCACAGCGCAGCTCACTCGAGTGACGCCGGTGTCGCGCGTCGCGCACGCTGCCGCCTGCACGCGTTCGCTCTGCAACAGCCGCTTGACGCCGCGCAAGGCTTCGGCCTCACCGTGTCTGCTCGGACCGTGCGAACGAGGAGGCGAAAAGCAGGGCGATCGAAAGCATTTCGAGACGCGAAGGATTTCGGGAGCGAAGGGAATCGGAACTCTTGGGCGATCTTGGGCGTCGACCGTGACAGGTTCCTCTTTCCGTATACCGTATAAATACTCACCGCCACTTATGGCTGTGGCCATCTGTGGCCCAAACCCCTTAGGGACGAAAAACCGTTTGATGGTCCGGCAGATCGATCCCATGCAGATCCGATGGATGGTCAGTGGAAGATCAATGTCGGTTCATGGTGGGGAACCCTTGGGACGCCCTCGAAGCCCTTGGGGAACCCTCGGGTCGAAGCCCTTGGGGAACCCTTGGGGAACCCTTTGGCTCTCAAGAGTGAAGGAACCCTCGGAACGCCCTGCAACTTCAGGAGGAAAGAAGGAACCCTTTGGGGTTCGACCGCCCGGTCGACTCTCAGACACACACCGCTGAGTAGTGAAGCCATGCCGATGACTTGTTCCTCTTCGGCCGCCCAAGGGCTGGTGGGGAGGCACTCGATTCGAAGACCGATCCAAAGAGCCCAACTCGGAAAGTCCAGTGCTTCACCAGAACCCATAGCTACTACTATAGTAATGCCCTTTGTTATTTGCAAAGAGAAGCTATACTACTACCAGCACCCGAGACCTGCCAGGTCACCACCAGGTCCACTTTTAAGTATCCAAAAGCTACCATTTCGGAGACCTGGCAGGGAGGGTGCTGGTACAAATAGTCATGCCCTTTGCTACTAGTAGATTCACCAGAACCCAGCGGCTTTGAGGCTTCTTGTGTATGAAAGGCAGGCCATCCGCTTCGCTGCCCGTGCCGGCCCAATGCGACGGTGGCACAAACCCACGATTCCGGTGGCCTACTCTACGTACAGGACCCGGATCTTTCCAATCCTAGACACGACCTGTAGACGGGACTGCGTTCGTCCGTTCTGCCGCCCCAGAGGTCGACCCCCCGCTAAGCACCACCCCGAAAGCCGTGAAATGAAGGCAGTCCGAATCGGCAGTCCCATGTGCTGGTCGCGTCTGGGAATTATATGACACAGGTTCTGCCGAACGAACGAACTTGGCTGGCTGGTTTGAGAGATGAATGAAGTTCGGCAGATCTTTGGCAGTTGGAAGATCCAGGAATCTCCGTGGTTTTCTTCAGCGCAGTCTGCGTACCGCGCGCGCTGCACCTCGTCTTCTTGCAAGGTCAAAGCTTTCACAAGCGCCTGGCAAGTCCCCATCAGGATGCCTTTTTCCCAAGTCCATTCAGCGAACCTGATCGAAACTGGATGCTTTTGGTGACCAACATGTTCCAGATGATCGGGTCTCTTGAACATGAGTCATTTGATGATCATTTTTCCTTGTATGTTTTGGCACCTGACAATCAGACCTCCAAACCTCAAAACGAACATCCGCCTAATTGGGGTTTCATCACCCCTGTGGTCTGGACACATCGAAGATCGCACATCGAAAGCGTTTTGGAGGGGATCTGCGATGGGGTGGATCGGATCACTTCCCCCCTACAAGTGATTTAGATAGGACACGAAGGACCTCCGTACATGTTTGGAGGCTCTGAATGCAATAATCATGCGGTTCGGAGGGGCTCTTCCAGTCGATCTCTGGCCATGGGACCACGTCTCCGCCACAACATCCCCCCCCGTGCCACAGACGAGTCTTGAGAGGAAAGGCTCTTCCAAAACGCCCACCCACACCACCCTCTGGGGTAGTCATGATAGGCACACCACCACCTTTTGTGGAGTCGTTGCCACGTACGTCGCCCCGTCTCCGCCGCGGACCACCCGCGGCCCGCGGCCGAACGCGGCGCTTCGGACCACCGGGCACCTCCAGGTCCTTCTGCAGCTCCAGCGGCGCCAGGCATCGGAATTCCCCTCGGGTCCCCATGGGGTCACGGTGCAGGGCACCCCGGCCCCAACGGATCTGGGAGGGGAGGAAGGAAGGAAGGAGGAAGGAGCAGCAGAGCTCTATCCCTACATCCCTATATACAGCTCTAGAGCTCGGAACCAAACACGTGATCTTTTTGAGTTTCGAATCCGATCCCAACCCAATTTGCAAATCAAACGGCAAAAAGGCCGGTATGGTGGAGGTTCAATCCCCGGGTGCCACACATTCGGGCGACAGGCGGGCCACTACCCCACTCCTATACAGTTAAGGGGATGAGCTCGGGTGTGGACCGTTTAGAACACAACAGCATCAAAGGCGAATTAGATCCGAATTAGGATGTTCAACCAATACATGTCCATGCTGTGAGCCCTCTGGCCTGCGATCTTCGGTGGTTTATTTTGTTTTTTTTACATGCTGATTTGTAGGGAGCTTTCCAGGGAGCATCGTCCACTTCCGGGACCATCGCGCCATGTCTCACGTCTCATCTGGTCCTTTGTTTCGGCCCGAAGACGCGGGCCGAACACCTTGATCCGAAAGGTGGAGGCCCCACTTCTGCACCGTCCTTTTGGGCCCAACTTCTGCACCCACGGCATTTGCCCATATAAGTTGGGCCCACCCTTAGATGGAGATGGGTTCACCCTTAGATGATGGAGATGGACAACGCCACCTTCCAGGCCAAAAGACCTTCTGGACACCTCCGGCCGGATCTCCCCGTCTCTGGTGCTCTTTGGGATCCGCCACGCAAGAACTCGCTGTGCCAGAAACGCACCGGAAAGCCGGCTCGAGCCACCTGTCACCGGCGCGTGGCGCTGAAGTGGCGAGTTGGTTGCGTGCTTGAGTGAAGCGTGCTTAACCAGGAGAGGTTGAACAGCCTTATAGCCTGTCCCATATGTACCACTACAGGGTCTTATAAGGTCTCTCAACCTCTCTTGGCTTCAAAGCCGAAGCTTCGTTTCGGGGCGATTTGGGACAGTCCGAGTGGTGGATCTGGAGTTGGAAGTTGCGATGCTCCATGCTTTGAGAGACTTTCTCTATAACGATCAATCTTCAGCGTCAAGGCTTTGTGGTTGCTGTTGGGTTTGGGTCTCTGTGACCCAGGTTCTGGTGACATGTCGACCTTCCGCAAATGACCTCTGCATTCTGCAGCATTCTTTTCAAGGAAGAAAGGCCATGAAGAAACGACTTCCGCCCTGCATCCAACAGCTCCAGGAGAACACCTATCACTGGCAATAACTTACCACGATCTTCACTCCAAGACCGGCGCTCCGCAGCTCTGCAGCTCCGTTCAACGAGGAGTTGTGATGCAACTCTTCGACCCAAAAGAACATGCATTCAATGTCCGTTTGGATTCATGTCCGTTTCAGAAACCTTCCGTTTGGAAAGTCACAAGGTTAACATAAAGATTGCAACTCTTCCTACTCTTCTCCACCCAAAAAGCCACCGTACATTATAGTACATATAATGTGGAAACCTCCACCCTCTCTGCAGAACACTTCCTTCCTCCCTTCAGCACAAACGCCTTGATCGCTGCGAGGACTCCCTGATAGCCTGCGCTAGGCTCGCGCGCGAGCGCCGCGCACAGCCGTGGATTTTCGGGTCACAAACCGAGTCAGGGAAGGTGGATTGGAGTGATCTCAATTAAATCCTCTATTCTTAGTATACTGTTGACTGATTGATTGACTATACTGCGAACAAACACCAACGGCCAAGCTCCACAGCGACCCCGCGTCGTCCGCCCCTTTGGTCCGACCCGGTGCCCGGTCCCGACGGAGCGGCGCGTCCGCGTCCGCGTGGCGCGTCTCGGGGCATCCCGGCTGAGTTGCTCCGCCACGCTGGGGCGGTCGAAGAAGGGCTTCGTGGCCTCGCGGTCTCGGAAGGCCTGGGAGAGCGGGTGGACTGATCGACTGCAGGGTGGATACGGGGGTGGATACGGGGGTGTCTGGTGGATCTCAAGTGTGGGGAGAGAGTCCTTATAGTGCTTCTGATCCATGGTGTTTTCCTGCTTCATGCTGTTTTCGCGGTGCTTTTCTTTTTGAAGGCTTCAAAGACGGTCAGGTGATTCTTGGTTTCGTTTGAAAAGCACCTTTTGTGCCCCCCCAAAAAGCAACATGAAGCAAGTGACATCTGGTTGGCCAAACAGGTTTTTCTATTAATCGAAGATCCATCTGAGCTCAATGCGCATTCCCAGTGCTCATCTCGGCTGCTCGGCTTCCTCTATAACTGATTGTTTTTCAATGCATACATCGATATGGTTAGTACATCCATCAGTCTTGGGTTATAACGGTATTAGTGGTAGGTATTTCATCAAAACCCTTCAATAACCGAATCATACCAGGACCTTCCAACAGGTCACCACCAGGTCCACTTTTAAGTCTACAAAATTCACCCAAACTCGGAGACCTGGCAGGTCGACCGGGTGCTGGTAGTGATCGTCCAGTCGCAGCGACCGTTGTCCAAACCGCCTTCACGCCCCCCAATGGCCTTTTCGCGCCTGCCTAGACTGTCTGCCCGCTGGCCCCGCCAGCTTCGACGCAGCTCTGTAGGTCTTCGGTCTTCCGCCACGCTCCCAAAACACGTTCCCCCCCCTCACACGGCCTGGTTCTTGGGATTGGGCTTAATGCAGCGGATGAAGTGAGGCTGTGTACCTCAGATCGGGTCATCCGCTCGATGCCTCCGCCTCCCGTCCCGATGGATCTGCTCCGGTGCCAAGTGACGTGACGGTCCAAACGGGGAGACCGAGCGGGCACGAGTGTGCACGAGGTAGTATAATACCATGGTGTTAAGTGGGATCTCTCCATCCGAAAGTGACTTTTGGAACGGTAATTATTCCAAGACTTCAGCTGGTGATCCGATGTCAGAAAAATGGCTCAGAACCCCTGATCTGCTGTTTAGCCAGGTTCACGGGAAACATTTGTAGATGCCATGCAATGTACTACTCACGACCCACTACTCTCCGTGAAACCATGAAATAGAATCCAATTCCACTGATCTATATTTCGACTCGACCCCATGCACCAGAAAACCACAAACTAAACAGTCGCCCCCCTGGATCATTCAAAGTGAGAAGTGAGGTTCTGACTTGGAGCTGCAATAGGTCTCTTCATTTCCACCGCCCATGTCGAGACCGGCCAGCCCAACAAACCGAGGAATCACCCTCCCTTGTTCTGGTTGATTTGGATTTTGCAGGCTGTTTTGGAGAACCTCCAAACCACTATAGGTACATCAAACAGTTCCAAACACCTTCAACAAGTTCTTCCAGGAAACAATCATCCAAATCTGACGTTGCAGAAGCAAATGCACTTTCTTTCTTCCTGGTCTCAGCGCTGCCGTGCCAGAACGAGGCGTTCTCCATCCCGATCAATTTCGGGAAGTCTCTAAAAGACATGTTCCTGGTCATCCGATGGGTGTCCAATAGATTACCATGATCCTGGGATCTGTTTTTCCATGTTCCTTCTGAAGCTGAATGCAGCTGAAGTAACTTTGGATCTGCTGTAGAAGCTCCTCGACTCGCAGCCGTGTTTGTTTGGAAAAACAAACATCCGTCTCGTCGGATGCGTGTCTGGCAGAGATAAAAGAACCACTCATGAGCACATCACACTCGATATCAGATGCATGCTTTATCTTGTTTCCCATATTCAACCAACTAAACAACGATTCCATTACTTTTTACAATGATCTACCCTGCACACAACTACGCATGTATACTTCTACACGAGGAATGTTCCATCCCCCCTCCAGTTTGGATGTCCTCTCCCCCGTTGGGTTGTGTACGTCTCTTGCTACGGAATCCTCGCGGAGTCGTCCGGTGACAGCAAGGCGAACCCAACGACCACTCGCGGCGCCTGGGGGGCCAGGTCAAAAGCCCTGGAGGTCTACGACTCCATGTGCAGTCGACCCCGTCCCCGTGCGCACTGAAACCTCCGCCGCCGGCGACGGTCCCGGCCTTGAGCTGCTGCCGAAACTCGCCCGAGACGGAATAGCGCTGGGCCTCGACCGGCCGCGACGCGAGGTGGCACGGAACTGTCCGACAGGGCGACAGGGCACGAAAACACCGAAGCAGCAAGAGGGACTCTCCTGGCGCCAAGCTCTTCGCTTCCGCCCAGTGGCATTCTGCTGGGCCTACAGCACGAATGATTTACACGCGCGCCCTACCACTTCGGTCGGAAGCACATGTTGATGATGTCGACAATCTTAGACTATGACATAATAGCACCCGAGACCTGCCAGGTCAATGCTTCAACCTCTTAGGGCCCAACAACCCCCTCCATTTCGGAGACCGAGTTGGGTGCTGGTATAATATCCCTAGACTTCCGGGAACGACCATTAAAACCAATGGGAACGACCTGGTTTTTGTAATAATTCTTCCACATCACTCCCACGGCTGCATCACAGGACGGCCACTCTT